TAACCGCCCACTACTCACTACTCACTACGCACTAATCACTATTCACTACTCATTCCTCACTAACCCCCACTCACTCGTCATGAGTCACTGCTCACCAATCACTACTCACCATTCACTACTGACTACTCACCACTCACTGCTCACTACTCACGGATCACTACTCACTACTTACAACTCCCTACTCACTACCCACTATTCGCTACCCACGTCTCACATCTCATGTCACACTCCTCGCTACTCCCCACGCACTACTCACTACTGGCTACTCACTACTCACTACTCGCTACACCCTACTCGCTACTCACTACTCACTACTGCCTACTCCATACTCACTACTCACTACTCACTACCCACTACCCGCTTCTCATTACTCTCTATCCGCTACTTCCTACTCGCTGCTCACTTCTCACTACCCACCACCTACTACCCGCTACTCACTACTCACTACTCACTACCCACTACTCCCCAGTCGCTACTCGCGAATCTCTACTCACTACTCACTACTAACTACGCACTACTCAATACTCACTACTCACTACTCACTTCTCACTTCTCACTACACTCTTCTCACCACTGACTACGCACTAAGCACTACCCACGACTCACTACTCACTACTCACCACCGACTACTCTCACTACCAACTACTCACTACTCACTACTCCCTACTTCCAAATCAGCACTCACTACTCATGGCTCACTACTCGGCTCTCACTACTCACCATTCATTCCTCAATACTCACTACGCACTACTCAATATTCAGTACTCAGTACTCACTATTCACTATTCACTACTCTCTACTCGCTATTCACTACTCACTATTCACTACTCACAACTCACTACTAATACTCACTATTCCCTACACCGGACTCACTTCTATAGCGCTCACTTCTATAGTGCTCACTTTGAAATTGTGGTCCGGAAGGGGCCGCACATGCAGGCACATGCCGCACAGTCGCATGCACATGCCCATGCAAATATACAAAAGCCTCAACAGCATTGCCGCACATGCGCGCACATGCCACACCGTCCGACGCACAGTCGAATGCACGGTCAAGCAAAACTCTGAAAGCATAGACGCACATGCCCGCACATGCCGCAGAGATGTCGCAGGCGATAGTGGCCTGACCACCTGAGCTCGGGGCATTTCGCAACCCAGAGTTCCGAGGATGTCTCAGGCAAGCGTGGCCGGATCACCATGGGGCAGGGCATCTTGGAAACCAGAGTGGCGAGGATGTCGCTGGTCAAGGTGACCAGACGACCATGGGGCAGGACACCTCCGAGGTCTGAGTTGTGAGGATGTCTCAAGCGAAGGTGGCCTGACCACCATGGGGCAAGAGATCTCTGAGGTCAGAGTTGCGAGGATGTCTCTGGGGAGAGTGGTCTGACCACCTCAGCCCAGGGCATCTCGGAGCCCAGAGTTGCGAGGATGTCTCAGGCAGGACTGGCCTGACCACCTGCTCAGGGCATCTCAGAACCCAGAGTTGCGAGGGTCTCAGGCGAAAAAGGCCGAGACACTATGGAGCAGGGCATCATTGAGGTCAGAGTTGCGAGGATGTCTCAGGCAAAAGTGGCCTGAACAGCTCAACTCAGGGCATCTCGGGCGAGGATGTCTAAAGCGAAAGTGGTCTAACCACCTCAGCTCAGGGCGTCTCGGAACCCAGAGTTCCGAGGATGTCTCAGGCGAAAGGGGCCGAGACACTATCGAGCAGGGCATCATTGAGATCAGGGTTGCGAGGATGTCTCAGGCGACAGTGGCTGACCACCTCAGCTCGGGGCATATCGGAATCGAGACTTGCGAGGATGTCTCAGGCGACCGTGGCCTGACCAGCATGGGGCAGGAGATCTCTGAGGTCAGAGTTGCGAGGATGTCTCAGGCGAAAGTGGTCGAACCACCTCAGCTCAGGGCGTCTCGAAACCCAGAGTCCCGAGGATGTCTCAAGCGAAAATGGCCGGGCCACCATGGGGCAGGGCATCTCCGAGACCAGAGTTGCGAGGATGTCTCAGGCGAAGGTGGCCAAATCACTTCATGTCAAAGCACGTCGGCCTCCAAATTGCCGACGACGTCTCACGCGGAACTGGCCGGACGCGAACGCGCCGGCGTCCGGAGACGAACGCCGGCCCCGGCATTCTTGCACGTCCCGCACATGCACTGCACAGGTACGCACAGTATTCGCACAGGCCGAGCTCGCCGGTGGCCGAGCCAGGCCAGCGATTCCGAGATTCCCTGAGCTCGGGCCGTCAAGCCACTTTCGCCTGAGACATCCTCGCAACTCTCACCTCCTCCTCCTCCTCCTCCTCCTCCTCCTCCTCCTCCTCCTCCTCCTCTCCTCCTCCTCCTCCTCCTCCTCCTTCTCCTCTGGCCGAGCCGAACAGGCAGGCGGGCCAGTGGCCGGGGGCGCCCGCCTCCTCCGCCCCCCCCTCCTCCCCCCCCCCATCCACCTCCCCCCCCCCCATCCCTGCTTCTCCGGCCGAGCTGAGAAGGCGCGCGGGAGAGTATTTTATTAGGCGGGCGCGCCACCGCCAGCTCACGAACCGGGCGAATAACCGCCCCCGCCAGCAGCGGGCGAGTCTAAACGCACAACAAACTCTTTCAGGAAGCCCTGGCACGCCCCAGTATAGCTCTGCGAAGGCCAGGAGGCATTGGAGGCACAGGGGTCCCACAGCTCCTAGGGCATGAACGTGCATGTGCATTGGGATGTGCACGCATGTGCGCCCGCGCGCTTCACCGCATGTGCGTGCATGTGCGGGCCCGCGCGGCCTCCCGAAGAGAGGTTGCACAGGCATGTGCGTGCATGTGCCGATGACAGATCTGCGATTCTCGAACACCTCCCGCATGTGCAGGCATGTGCGCGCATGTGCGTCGGACTGTGCGTGCATGTGCGTATGATGGATACATCAAAACACAGCGCACATGCCCCCGCACATGCCCGGGCACGACGTGCACAGTAGGAAGTCCATCCAAGAAGGACCGCACAGGCCTGGCACATGACTGGCACATGCCGCGCACATGCGCGCACATGACAGCGCAAAAACGGCCGCACATACACCCACCCAGGGGTATAGACGTGAGTGCGGTCTACTCCATACTTCCCACCCACCTTCTCCGGCGCAGAAAAGAGCAGCGGGAAAGGCCCCCTCCCCGGCTCTCTGTCCGGCGCAGAGGAGGGGAAGGAGGGCGGGATCCGACCCCCCCCCTTTGCCAGCGCCAACGGGGGGGGGAGGTCTGGATCCCCCCTCAAGGGACTCAAGGGAGGGGGGGGGGGGTCGGACCCGCCCCCCCCCCCCTGAAGGGGGGGAAGGGGGAGGGGCTCGAAAATCTCACCCCCTTTGAAGGGGTGGGGGGTCTGCGAGCACCCCCCCCCTTTTCAATTACAGGGTGATCCAGTGGCGGGCTTTCCTAAAATAGATTAGGAGTTGGGCAACAATAAAAAGCCACGTTCGAAGACCAGCGCGTAATGGTGTAAACATTATGTTTCTGACGGTTCCTATTAGCCTCAGGCCTGACCGACAGCCACGCAGAAAACAAACATCCACTCGACGTCCCGCCATAGTCCCACCATCCCCTGGGCGTAGGTGGTCTAGAGAGCGTTATCTTCCACCACCCTTCTTCCCGTCGGGGCAGGGTTTACCTCTCCCCCGACCCACTCCCCTGGACCTAGAGGGGGTGCCCCGCGAGGTGTCAGAGGGTCTTGTTGGGCCAAAGATGGCTCCAAGAGCGCCTCAGAGAGCCCAAAATGACATCCAAAATGGCTCAAGATAGCCCAAGATGGCTCAATATGGTTTCCAAGATAGCCCAAGAGGCCTCAAGATCGTTCCATGACGGCTCAAAGTTGCCACGGAGCCTCCCACGGAGGCCCCCGAGGAAGCCAAAATCATACAAGAACCTACGGAAACTCAATGAGTGGTGCATTCTCGCCTTTAAGCTTTCGATTGCCTTCCGAGGCCTCAAGATGGCTCCAACAGAGCCCAGGAGGGCCCCAAGAGAGCCCCAAGAGAGCCCTAAGAGAGCACTAGACGGCCCCAAGAGCACCCAAGAGCGCCCCAAGAGCGCTCCTAGAGGGGCCCAAGGGGCGATTTCGGGGGCTAATGAAGGACCTTCTTCTTTGCTCGAGCTCTTCCAAGATGGCTCCAAGAGGGCTTCTGAGGCTCCAAGAGGCTCCCGAGAGGCCCCGAAGAAGCCCATGAGCGGCCCCCAAGAGGCCCCCAAAAGGCTCCCTCCCAAGAGACCCCCAAGAGGCCACAAGAGAGGCCTAAGAGAGCCCCAAGACGGCCCCAAGAGCGCCCAAGAGTGGCGCAAGAGCGCTCCAAGAGAGACCCTTCCTCTGTGTACTGCCCACTTCCGTGATCGAGACACTCCTCTTGGCATCGTCTCTGGATGGGCTGGTGGGGTTACGCGGATCGGGTCTCAGTGAGGATACAATGGACGCCCGACCACAAAAAACCTTCCCACAAGAAAGCCAACCCTGAGACCCCAGGCACCCTGGAGGCAGAACGGTGTTTCTTGGCATGGGCGTCCATTGTAAATCGAGAATGTGTGAGATCTGGAGGCTGTGGAAGATGCCTCGGGCGCCGCGGCTTTTCGGAACGTTCTGCGAGCGTTCCGGTACGCTGTGGAACAGGTGCATCCTTGGCCTACAGTGGAGGCCCGATCACAAGAAACCTTCCACAAGAAACCCAACCCTGAGACCCCAGGACGTCCGTTGATTTCTGGAGTGGGAGAGCCACGCCTTCAACAGCAAAACCATCGACACACAAGAAGCCCGGGGCACCCTGGAGACGAGCACGGTGTTTCATGACATGGGCCCCCACTGTAAAACCTCATTCCCCCCTCCTCCTCCCCCAAACTTCCCACCTCCGAGAACGCGCGAAGGCCTCCGAACCTCTTCCTTCCTCCTCCTCCTCCTCCTCCTCCTCCTCCTCCTCGACCCCTGGCACCCTGGAGGCGAGCAGCATGGGCCCCCACTGTAGCCCCATCCGCGCAGGCCCTTGCGGGCGAACCTGGCCGCCCCCAGCGCGAGCATCGGCGAGCCCGGCGGCGGGGCCGCGTGGTTGAAGGACGAGCTCGGCGCCAGAGACTTTGACCTCGGCCCGCCGCACGGCTCATCCGCCTCCTGTTCCTCCTCTTGATCCTTTTCCTCCTCCTCCTCCTTCTCCTCCTCCTCCTCCGCCTCCTCCTCCTCCTCACCCTCCTCCTCCTCCTCTTCCTCCTCCCTCCTCCTCCTCTTCCTCCTCCTCCTCCGCCTCCTCCTCCTCTTCCTCCTCCTCCTCTTCCTCTTCTTCCTCCACCTCTTCCTCCTCCTCCTCCTCCTGCTCCTCCTCCTCTTCCACCTCCTCCTCCACCGCTTTCTTTTCCCAGTCGTCGTGCAGAGGTGGCTCGCCGGGCTTCGTAATCCACCGAGTTCGCTTCGCGACCGTCGTCACTCACACCCTCCGTCCCCCGCTCCTCCTCCCTCTCCTTCGCCCCCACCCACCTCCTCCTTCCTCTTGTCTTGGTTCCCCTCCTCCTCCCCCTCCTCCTCTTCCTCCTTTTCATACGCGAGCCTTCGCCCACGACGAAGCCGACACCGACGCCGACGCCGACGACGACGACGAAGACGACGACGACGCCGACGACGCCGACGACGACGGAAGACGATGACGACGGACGACGATAACGACCGTGACGACGACGACGAAAACGGACGGACGCTCGGACGGACGGAAAACGACGACGACGACGACGACGACGACGACGACGACGACGACGACGACGACGACGGACGACAACGCACGACGGACGACTGGCGACAGACGACAGGCGACGACGACGGCGACGACGACGACGACTCAGCCAGGATCGTCAAGAAACGACTCGAGATGAGCCAAGCTGGGGTGCGATAGCAATAGAAAACGGGGAAAAGTGCGGCGACGGTGACTCCCCTTCTGCGGGGGCGGTGCAGGGGGCCTTTTACGTACGTAGGGTACCTACCGCCCCCAGGAGCTTGATGCCCGCCGGTGGTCCTTAGTCGATTTCTCCGAAGCGGCATGGCACCTGAGCCCACATGGCCACAGACGCCGTGCAGGGAAGAGGATGCACATTCATGCTGGCACGCGGGGGCGCATCCTCCATGAACCCTACTGTTAAGTCGGGCCACCGACACCGACACCGACACCGACGACGACGACGACGACGACGCCGACGACGGCACCGACAGCCTCGACGACGGCATCGACGGCACCGGCGACGGCTCCGCCGACGGCTCCGACGGCTTTGACGACGACGGCCGCCGACAACGGCCGCCGCGGCCGCAGTGGCCGCCGCAGCCGACGACGAGGGCGAGGGCGAGGACGAGGGCGAGGGCGAGGACGAGGGCGAGGACGAGGATGACGACGGCAACGCCGACGCCAGCGCCGACGCCAGCGCCGACGCCGACGCCGACGCCGCTGCCGCTGCCGCTGCCGACGCCGACTCCGACGACAGACGACGACAGACGACGACAGACGACGACAGACGACGACGACGACGACGACGACGACGACGACGACGACGACGACGACGACGACGACGACGACGACGACGACGACGACGACTGGCGGCCTGCGCGCTGTCGAATCCACCCGGGGCGGAGGGGCGCGGCTCCTGCGGGAGGCGGCCGACGGCGCCCCTTCGCTCCTCGCCCCTCGGCGCCTTGACTCCGTCTGCGCTGGCGGATTGCCTGCCTCGCGCTGCGGCGCTCCTGCTCCTGCCAATGTTAGGCCCCGGCTGAAGACATGGCACGCTTCCTCCCTCCTCCCACATCCCTCCTCCCTGCTAGAATGTTAGGCCCCGACTGAAGACATGGCACGCCCGCTCGGACGCTGCAATAATCAGTGAAGAAATCTGGAGCTGTCGACTACACAACTAGTTTCGCCAGCTCGATCGCCCCGACAATAGGGGAGGGAGGAGGAGCAGGCCCACGGAAGGCGGACAATCCTGGGCTAGGCTGTCTGGGGGGCAGGAGGCGGCTGACGAGGCCGCCAAAAGTCTGAGAACCATACCTTTGAAGCATAAAATGTGTTGACCTCCTCCTCCTCCTCCTCCCCCTCCTCCCCATCCGCCTCCTCCTTCTCCTCCTCCTCCTCCTCCTCCTCCTCCTCCTCCTCCTCCTCCTGCTCCTGCTCCTGCTCCTGGTCCTGCTCCTGCTCCTCCACCTCCTCCTCCTCCTCCTTCTCCTCCTCCTCCTCCTCCTTCTCCTGATCATCATCATCATCCTCATCCTCCACCTGCCTCTCCTCCTCCTCCTGCTCCTCCTCCTTCTCCTTCTCTTCTACAGCTCCTCCCCCTCGTCCTCCTTCTCCTCTTCCCCCTCCTCCGCATCATCATCATCATCAGCACCATCATCATCAGCAGCATCATCATCCTGATCCGCCTCCTCATTGTCCAGCTCCTCCTCCTCATCGTCCGTAGTATTTTTCATATTAGTTATCGAAGTATCATTAATCCTGGTAGCATTAATGTCCGTAGTAGTCTTATACTTCCCCCTGTAGCTAAACTCCATAGTAATCGCAGTGTTGGTATCATTATCCGAAGTGCTAATCTTATTATGAGTAACGTTCGTCTCATTATAGTCATAGCATGATTGTGGTTAGCGCTCGTGGTCGTGTTAATAATATGATCACTAAGAACAAGAACAATAATAATGGTGACGATGGTGAAGGCAATGAAAATTGTACTAGATATACCATACCGTTCTTAATAGTGTGAGTAGTAGGTATTAGTAGTAGGTATCAGTAGTAGTAGTAGTAGTAGTAGTAGTCGTAGTAGTAGTAGTAGTAGTAGGAGTAGTAGGAGTAGTAGTAGTAGTAGTAGTAGTAGTAGTAGTAAAAGTAAAAGTAGTATGATTGCTGCATGCTTAATCGTAGTACGAGCATTAATAGTATCATTGGTATTAACGTTATTAATACTATTACTCTTATGTCAAGTGCTAACAGTAATCGCATTCGTCTTCGAGGTTTTAGTACTCGTGCTAATACTACTCTATTGATACTAGTCGTCATGTTAGTATTCGTAGTACCCTTAATACCAATAGTAGTTGCATTAGCTTTCTCATTGTTATCCGTGCTCGTAGTATTCGTGCTATTGCGTACAGTCAGGCCCCTGCCAGCAGAAGGAACGCTAAATAAGGAAAAAACGCCCCTTCTTGTTCACAATCAAATTCGCCGGCCCAACGGGCCAGGGCGTGCTAAGATCTCCGGTACCTGGTTAACAGTATTTCTAGTTCGCGCGCGCGGGGCGGCCCCGGGGGGTCCCCGGACGAAAAGTACCCCGGCAAGGTCCCCGCAAGTCCCCGGCAAGGTTGGGTCAGAGATGCCGGAGTTCTGTTACAGGGCCCCAGGACGGGCCAAGAGGTCCCCAAGAAGCCTCCAAGACGGTCCAAGAGGGCCCCGAGACGGCCAAAGATCGCCCGAAGACGCCCAACAGGGCCCCAAGACAGCCCAAGAGGCCTCCAAGACGCCCCAAGGGCCTTCCAAGAGGCCTCCGAAGAGGGCCCCAAGAGGCCAAAATCGTTGATTTTCATTGTTTTTTTTCTATGTTTTTTGCGTTCTGGCTTTTTCGGCTTCCGGACGCTCCAAGACGGCCCAAGAGGCCCCCAAGACCGCTCCAAGACGGCCCACGAGGCTCCCAAGACGGCCCCGGAACGGCCCAGGAGGGCCCCCAAGACGGCCCAAGTGCCGCCCAAGACGGACCAAGAGGCCCCAAGACGGGCCCAAGAGGGGCTCAAGAGGGGAACCGAGAACTGAAAAATCGAGCCCTCCGCCCCAGAAGGCGCCCAGGAGGCCCCAAAAAGGCCCCAAGAGGCCCCCAAGAGGCCCCCAAGACGCCCCAAGAGGCGCCCAAGAGGCCCAAAAGAGGCCCCAAGAGGCCCCAAAACGGCCCCCAAAACTCGGCTAGCCCACAACGGTGCGACAATATGGGCCGGCGGAATGAGCGAAGCGATTAAATAAAATTATCCCGGCAAAGCAACCTAACAGCCATGTGTAGGAGCATATCTGGAAGCATTCCCTTAAGATTCAGATGAGAATCCAGTTGTAGAGTTCTGCTGTTCTCGCAGTCGTAGTCGCATTCGCGATGACAGTCGCAGTGGCAACGGCAGTCGCAGTCACAGCCTCAGCCTCAGCCTGCCTCAGCCTCAGCCTCAGCCTGCCTCAGCCTCAGCCTGCCTCAGCCTCAGCCTCAGCCTGCTTCATCCTCAGCATCAGTCTGCCTTCAGCTTCGGCCTCAGCCTCAGACTGCCTCAACCTCAGCCTGCATCAGCCTCAGCCTCAGCCTCAGCCTGCCTCAGCATCAGCCTGCCTCAGCTCAGCCTCAGCCTCAGCCTGCCTCTGCCTCAGCCTCAGCCTGCTTCAGCCTCAGCCTCAGTCTGCCGTCAGCCTCGGCCTCAGCCTCAGCCTGCCTCAGCCTCAGCCTGCATCAGCCTCAGCCTCAGCACGAAGCAACCCAGCTAGAAGGACAAAGCGCTGAATGTACACCGATGTGTTCGACGACTGCGTATGTAATGATGTGACGATATACAGACTGAGCCCTTCGTGAATGTCTACATGTTTTTCTGACGCCTACAAACGGCGCTGACGTGTGTGTGAAAAGTGTCCGCGCAGCAAAAGCCGGCGAAGCGTGCAGACAGCCAGCTGCAAAAGGTTGCGAGCGGCTCTTGGAAGACGTTTACGGAACGGAGCTACGGTGTCTGAAAACAATGGCATCGAAGCGAAGAGCCTCGGAGCCCTGCAGCCTGAGAAACACCGCAGGAACTCGCATACTGAAAAGGAATGCATTGCAAACCGCACGTTGCGAACCCTGCAGGCTGAGAAGCACCGCAGGATGTCGCATGCTGAAAAGCACTTGTACTGCAGAGCGCAGGCTGCGAAACCTGCAGGCTGAGAAGCACCGCAGGAACTCGCATGCTTTCGAACACTACTGCTCGAGACCGCAGCTGGAGAGCGGCAGACCGCAGGCTGAGAAGCACCGCGGGCAGAGAGACTTGCAAAACTCAGATGTCCTGATCGTCTTGGAGGAAGTCACGCCAGTCCGGCGGCTGCCAAGAATCGATGATGCGCCTGGAGCCACCGCCCGTGCTGCCGCCGATGTCCAGGTAGTCGCCATCGCCCCTGAACAGACGGCCGTGCCCGCACGCCAGAATCGCTTGGTTGCGGATTTGAAGCAGCGCTCCGCTCTCAAACATCTGCAACACGTCCTGCTGCCTGCGCGTGAAGTTCGGCTTTGCCTGGCCAGCCTGGGCAGACAGATATAGGGAAAGCCGCCCCCCCTCGTTGTAGCGCGCGATGGCCTCGGCCTTCTGGTGGTGCAGCCGGCGCCGCTGTTGCCGCAGAGCTTCCTCGGGAACTGCTGCATCACGGCCCTCACTGTGATCAGCTTGCAACGCTTGCGTTAACCAATCAACGTCGAAGCGCCCTGAGAAGGCCAGCACCTCCCAGATCTGTTTAGTACCGGCCACACGTTGCAAATGGCGATGCCACCGCTTACGCTTCTGGTCTTTCACAAACTTGGCGACGCTACCCAGACCTGCACCCTTGGCCTGGCCACCTTTTCCCGCAGGCTGAGAAGCACCGTGAGAACCTTTCTTACCGCCTGGCCCTTTGTTCGGACCCTGCGGAACCGCATGGCCCCCTTGTGGCGCAGACTTGCCTTTCGCTTTTCCCTTTTCGATATCCCGTTCCTGAAGCGCACGCTGCTGCCGCGACTGCTCGTACTGGTCGCGAGCTACTCTGACCAATTCCTGGCGCTCAGGCTCCGTGAGAACGTAGCGCATGTCGTCGATGTTCTTGCTCCGCAGAAAGTCATGTCGAAGCTTAAGGACAGAGAGAATGGCTCGGCCAGTCTCCTCCTGAGACGCAAAGGCCGCGTCATATTCCGAGCCAGGCTGAGGAGCGCCAGCTGGATCAGTGTCCGCTGGCTCCGTGGACTTCCTCTTTTTGAAAAGCAAGAGACTGAGATGATGGAGGACTTTCGGATCGTACTCCTCGTCGTACCTGTCGTCCCAAAGCTGCCTCAGCTCCCTGTGCAAGTCGTCCGCGCGATTCTGAACGACATCCTCGACGTAGTCGGGATCACCCGGTGAAGTCGGTGAAAGCGGAGGAGCAGAACTCGGCGACCGATCCCAATGCACAGAAGACTCGCGGTCCGCCTGTACGCTGACGTCGGCGTCGGAGACGTTTTCGACGACAATTTTCCGCCTCTTGCTCTCCCCAGGCTGAATAGCACCAGGGAGAGTGAGCACAACCGCCACCGCATCGTGTGCGTCGTTGCGCATGCCACGATCCGTAAAAGACGCGCCAACGGCAATGGAGCAGAAACGGGCGACTGCTCCGCAGACCGCGACGTGGTCGCCTTTGAGGTCGGCCGGAGTGGCATGGACCTCCCATACCTTCTCGTCGTTCTGCTCGCGCTGGTAAGCCTCCCGCGCCTCCTGGAAAGTGAGGTTGTCGTCGCCGACTACAAGCACAACGACTGCCTCGTTTAGATTCTCAAGAATCTTGGCCAGGCCGTCCAGGTGCAAGCGGAGATGGCGAACTGTCCGCTTTCGAGTCTGGATGCTCGGCGGTTTCTTGCCGCACACGATGTGCATGTTGGCGATCACCACGTGG